GTTACTGCCTTCAGCGAAATAATGTTAAAGAAATGAGACGATTTCTCAGGTTTGAAACTTTGAGATCATCGGCCACGCTGTCAAATTTGCGCCAACCAGCCGCTCTTCTGCGTGCAGTTACTGTGATGCATATTTACTTTTTGGCTAGAAAAGTTATATACGATTCCTCCAGATTTATACAGTCTGTCTACAGTCTTGTCTCGGGCATATTAGCACTTTGCATCATCTTTGTTTTCGAATTGTTGCATTTTAGGCCTATTTTATTATTTCGTGCGATGAGCCTGACTGATAAAAATTGAATAGGTTTTAGGCAAAAACAGGATGACAACAGCAAAGTGCGGAATGACAATCTAAAATCCACAAATTTTTCTAACTGGTAAAGGACCTCATCGTAACTCCTGACTTGAAAGTTGTTGGAGTAGTAGTGTTTAGGATGAAGCTGCGATGCTCCGGTACTGCAAGAATCTTTGAAAAAATAGAATTTCTGCCGATTCCTGTTATCCCGTCAGGAGATGAAACGTGCTTTGGAATAAGCAGCAAGCTGATCACTCGGCGATGCAGCACTGGCAAAATCACTAGAAAATTTACCTGCTACGTAGATGGAAAACCACCCTGTAAAGCACCGCTGTTTCAAGTGGCTAACGCATTACTGTATAGAACAAGTTTATGAGTGCACTATATTTCTGGCCACAGTGCATTTTTAATATTTAATTGTAAAAACACATGAAAGGCCAAGCTTACTGGCAAATATGCTCGAAAAACGAATTTTCTCGACCTCTTGCGCCCACAGTGTGTGAGAGCCCTGCAAAAAATTAGTAGCAAAAAAACTCCAACCAGTTATTTAAATCCAAACAAAACAGGCTATTAGTTCGTAGATTAAACCAATTTCCAAAAGGCCATAGGAGTTTTACGTCTTCTTAAATCATTTTTCACTTAATCTGATTGTTGCTGTTGTGGGTATTGCCGTTATTTTACAAGTACTGTCAGTTGCCTACGCTATGAAAAATAAAAAAAAATAATGAGTAATTTTTTTGCTAAAATAGAATTTGGTAAGTTTCTAAGATAAAATTTTGAAATTTAATCAAGTCCAGAATTGACTGCGAGGAGGAGTTGGGACTAGTCCCTGTCGGGAAGTTCAAATTCAACTCGGCCTGAACATATCTCGGAAGAAATTTTGAAAAATTCTGCAACTATGGCTTGTAACTTAAACCCGATCTGTTTTCGTTGCTTTTAGATCTTGAAAATCCAAGCTTTCTGGTCAGATTTTTGCAGTGGAAGTGCCTTTTCTCCACCAAATAACTCAGAACCATGAAACAGCTGACTGCTAGAGAAATCAGCCTACACATGGCGCATAAATATCAACATTAACAAACAAACAGTCAGAAAAACTGTCGAAACTCCCCAATTTTTTAAAAACTCACAGAGGAACTACTTACAAAAGCGACTTGGAACGTTCAGTTACCTTTTTTTCCACAATTCCTCTTTTTCTAAAATGCGCTTTTTTAGCAAAAAAAAAAAAAAATGATACCGAGAATAAGTCACTTCCTACAGTTTTGGCTAGTTGATCCGTTAGAGTACTTTGGTCGAATGTTTCAGTTCGAAGACGCGATGATGCCTCCGCAGACTGTAAAAAAAAATTACTGATAGTAGGAATTTATACAGAAGATAAGTTTTTAAGTGCTCATCCAACTGTCAAAATGCTGCTGCACAACTCAAATGTATAACTTCTTAAACACTTATCCTACAGCCAAGATCGCAGACCCTTCGCTATTTTCCCGCCTAATTCGCAAAAAGTATGGCATTTGTGTGACGGTTTGAAACTGGTTTCGAGTGCTTGCTTAAAACTATTACATTTCTCATAGAGTTTTATTATTTTTAAGCTAAATGGAGCACTCTTCTAATTAAATCCTTGTACTTTTTCTACCTTTTAGCAGTTGCACCGCCAGCTAACTCTGCACACTGCGCTAAAAGCTTCAGCGCTGCATCCGTCTTTGTCTGTCATGAAAAACACTGCGACAAAACAAAACTGCTCATGTACAAACCAATGTTACTGGAACCTTGCAATATACTGATTGCATTAAATCTCTTCAAGTCTTGTGGACTTATCACGCAGAACAGGATTCAGCTATTCCAGTCCTTTCGATCCAGCAACATATCTGCCTCTCAAATTTAATTCTTCCTCTCTTTCTCTTGTTATTCAAATACACCCTACACACCATCCTATTTGATGAAGCATGGTATTCCAAGCATCTTCTGTTCCATCATTCTAGCGTTTACTTTTCTGGTTTCGTCAGTGATCACGTTTTACATCCGAAAAGTGCCAAACTTTGTTTCGTTTCGCTTTTCATTGTGCCCTGAGCCCAGAACTGATGGTAATTCTTATTAGAGATGAATCACCTTCTTGCAGTAATTGCTGTTACGATGGGACACGGAAAGGCGCTTTGTCTTAAAAAAATCTTTCCTACAAAAAAGTCTTTTTCAGCGATTGCATAATCACTCAGTTCTGAGCAAAAAAATCGAAAATTGCCATCTTCAGCAGGCTGATGCAGCAACGGTCAAAACAGCTGGAAAAGTTGCCAGCTACATAATCCTAGCTAGGAAACCAACCTCTCTCGAGTACTCCAAGTATGCTGTGAAATAACGAGCAAAATAAAGCTATCAAACCAAAAAATCCCTCCGAAACGGCTTAAGGCCCCAAATCGTTGAAAATTAGTTCCCTTTTCCGAGATAGCTAAATCACCGTAGTTTTCTTTCACTACATTTTAAAATAGATTAGTACAAACAAATAATCCGAACATCTGGAAAACTCACTGTGCTAACTAAACGCGAGCTTGAAGTGGTGGCCCGTCGAACTTGCTCGATTCGTTCCTCGCTGCTTGATCGGCCGATCGGTGTCCCAACACCAGCTGCTGGCGATCCCAGCGCATCTTGCACGGGTTGAAGCGGGCGCCGTGTTGGTGTTGGAGGGTGCACTGGTTCAGCTTCTGTGCTCTCGTCGATTCTCCCATTGATTTTCTGCGCAGCTTTTTGCAATTTCGAAAGCATAGAGCCTAAAATCAATTTACTAATTCTTACAACCAACTGAGTGAAGTTGAAAAGTAGGCCAAGGAAGTACCGGAATCGACAGGAAATAGAGGACCGCTGCATCGTGAAAAAAAGCAACTTGTGCCTAAAAGCCAACCCTCCTCGCTTCTATGCTCACTCTCAATTAGGGATAGAAGCATTCGGAGCTAATTCGAGTGGTAGCACGCACCAATAACAACCAACTGATGGCAGGGCCGTTAGTGAATCGTTCTGCTGAGTTAATTGTAAATAAGCGATAAGCTGTTTCTGCGCCAGTATCATTTTACCATCGAACAGAATGAACGAGTTGTAAAGGGATTAGCTGTACTTGTTGAGAAAAGTGTCTAAAAATGATCAGAAAATGAGATCGAACTTAGAAAACAGGTC